CCACGTGTGGGGAAACCCTGGTGCCCTGGCAGGATTTTTGCATGTGCCAGTCTGTTGTGAGGACTTACGCTTATATTATTTTACATTTGAAAAATCAATTAAAAACTCTATTTGAAGATTCCACGTTGGCCATAGAAACAGGCACAGTACGGCCTTTGACAGCAAGATGTTTGGTGACTGCTTATTCTAGATATATTTTGTGGTAATTCAGTTTTTGTTGTTGGTAATTATATTATTCCCCCAATTTAGAAAATTTATGCTATTTCAACTTCAGCCGTCCTGGGGGCTTTGTTTGTATTTGAATTTCTGACTTAGCTATGAAGGGAGCTGTATTTTAGTATCTGATTTTCTGAATCACGAACTTGTTCCCACAAGCACTGTAAGGAGAAGGGAAATAATTGGGTATTATGAAAGAACCTTTTCTTTCCACATTTTATGGATTTCTTAAAAAGTATATAATTGCTTTAGTTAATATGTTAAGCAAAAATTTTAAGTTGCTCCATGCGTGAAACCCTATTTCATGCCTAATTTAGAATGGCTAATTTCAATGCCAAGATTATTCTCCATGCTGTTTTCTTTCATCTTTATAGACAATGGCATTTTGTTCTTCCTCCCTGAATTCTGAATTTCATCATTTGAGGACGGCAATGACCACTTCCATTGTGGGCATATAAACTTTCTTTTTTTGATTAGTGTAATCTATTGCGCTGATGTTCAAGAATGAAACACAAAATGCGGTTGCATCAAAACATTTTGTGTGATATTTTACAAACTTCCCTTTTTCTTTCCTCTGCTTTGAATTCTCATTGCTGGGATAAACAGTGGTGGTGGTTTTCGTTTTTGCCTGGCATGAGTTATGCGGCCGCCATATCCCTTTGGGCCTCGCCTTTAACACCCGCCCTGGGAAACAGATGAGCGGGGTCCTATTTCTCCCTGGCACCGTGCACATCTTTAGCTCCAGCGCAAGGGTGGTCACGATCATAGCATTGCCAGTCAAAACCGCAGAGGCGGTCTTGGAAACTATTGGCACCAGTGACTTTTGCACAACTCGTTCAGGTGTTTGTTCTTCCTGTAACTCCAGTGGAAATTTGCTAGAAGCTCGGAGGAATAATTTGGCCTCCAAGCAGCGTATTAGCTGTTTGCCAGCTAATTGTAGAGCCGTTTGAATGCTTATCCTGTCTGTTTGCCATCCTCTGGTTCCTATAATATCCTTGGACAGTGTATGGGGTATTAGATTATTCCTGTGCGCTTTTGTCTGGACAAAAGATTAGGAAATTAAAAAAAAAAAATACGTGGGAGATGGCGAGAAACATGTCAATGGAGAAGTCACTTCCTTCTTTTCAAAACTCTTGGGATACACAGATTGCTTAAGTGTTCTGGAGACATTTGGGAAAGAATGTGTTCTTGTGGTGAAAGCAAGAACTGGGAATTCAGATTTCTGTATTCTGTTCCCAGGAGCACGAGGGGTCACCCAGTGACATGTGACAAGTCGGTTAAGCATTGGAATCTTAATTTCCTTATCTGTGCAAGGGACATAAAAGCGTCCATACCATGGGCTAACATAATGTTGGCAAATTATTTAATATTCTGCTGGGAACCAGCTTGCTCTAGTGACCTAGAAAAATAGTGACTTCGGTGTCAGCTGACCTCATTTCTATTTCTGGCTTTAGTGCTGACTCAATGAGAAACTTGTAGAAATCAGTTAATCTAGCTCTGGTCCTCAGCACATTCCATGATTAAAATGAGAGGTATAAAATCTTATCTTCGCTGGTTAAAAGCCACGCTGCCAATATTAATCAAGTACTAAAAATATTCCAACAAATGTATTAAAATGCTTTTGCATTGACATGCCTTTCTCATTTTCTTGCTATCTCACGTTGGGTTATTTGGGGATACACTATTCCATATTTATTTATTTTTTTCAGCCAGCTGTTTGCAGTTCAGTGCTATTCTGTTTTTTTTTTTTTTTTTTTTTTTTTTTTTTTTTTTTTTTT